TCGCCCATGGAATGCCATCGCGAATGCTTCTTTCTTCGGTGACGCCTGATTCGTTTGTCATTTCAGGGGATCGTTACTGACGTAGATGAGTGTCACAACGTTTCTAATTGGGATGCAAAGCTCTGATTTTCAATGTCAACGTTGCGGCGGAACATTTTCTGTTGTCCTATCGTGCCATCTTCCGGGTGAGCAGCGTCGGAGACGCAACTCATGGGGGGTGCGAACGGACTGCGATGCCTTGTCAAGTTCTAAGGTGTCACTATAAGAGCTGTGAGCAAGACCGTGTAAAGTGCAAGAGAAGGGGGCACGCTACGCGTCCCTCGACTCTAAGGGGGCACGCTACGCGTCCCTCATCTTTACCTTTCTATGTGACCGCCCACGCAACGTTTGGCTCAAGTCAATGCCCATAGCTAAGTGCTATATGTGTCTTCTATCCTGAGCAATCAGAGCTATCCCGTTGCACAGACGAACCGCCGCTGGCAGTGAGTGCAAAAGGAACGGCCGCCGGTTCTGCCTGCATAGGATTGCACGTGTGGAAGTGTAAGAGAGACAGGGTCCAGTCTGTGGAGAGTGCAAGCCAGCCACACCTACATTCATTACAGCTCTGGTGGGGAGAGCAGCAACCTAGTCGAGATCAATCCCCCACGCATACCAATTCACTCCACATAGTACTGCCGTGGCCGATGTTTGGGGTTGGCAGCCCGAGATGCACCAAAAAAAACACGTACTGCCACGTACTGTACAACGCACTACCACGTACTACCACGTACTACCACATAATACCACGTACTACTTGGTACTACTAGGTACTACCACGTACTACCACACACTACTACGTACTTCCACGTATTACCATGTATTACCACGAACTACCACGTACTACGACGTACTACTACGTACTACAACGTACGATACCACATACTACCACATACTTCTACTGGCACGTACTAGCACATACAAGCACGTACTACCACGTACTACTACAACCATATAGTTGTTGCATCTCGAACAGCCACCCTTGCATGTCGGCCCTCTCAGAGTGTCATAGTACTGCCATGGCCGATGTTTGGGGTTGGCAGCCCGAGATGCAAAAAAAAATGCCACGTACTATACCACGTACTACCACGTACTACCGCATAATGCCACGTACTATACTGAGTTAGGTACTACCACGTACGACGACACACTACTACGTCCTTCCACGTAGTAGCACACGCACTACCACGTACTACCATGTACTACTATGTACTGCCACGTACTATTACGTACTACTAGGTACTACCACGTACTACCACGTACTACTACGTACTTCCACGTACTACCACGTCCTACCACGTACTACCACGTGCCACTACGTACTACCACGTACTATATCACATACTACCACGTACTTCTACTGGCACGTACTAGCACATACAAGCACGTACTACCACGTACGACTACAACCATATAGTTGTTGCATCTCGAACAGCCACCCTTGCATGTCGGCCCTTTCAGAGTGTCATTTCACTACTTTACTGTTCTGTCTTACTAACTTACTATTTTACCATTTCACTCCACATAGTACTGCCATGGCCGATGTTTGGGGTTGGCAGCCCGAGATGCAAAAAAAATACCACGTACCATACCACGCACTACCACGTACTACCGCGTACTACTACCTACTACCGCGTAGTATTACGTACTCCTAGGTACTACCACGTACTTCCACATACTACTACGTACTTCCACGTACTAGCACGTACTACCACGTACTACCACGTACTACTACGTAATACCACATACTACGACATACGACTACGTACTAGCACGTACTACCGCATACTAGCAGGTACTACCACATTCTACTTTTGCATATACTACCCCACATACTGCCACGTACTACAACGTACTACCACATACTATCACGTACTACCACATACTACCACATACTTATTACCATGTACTACCAGATACTAGCACGTACTAGCACATACTACCACGTTCTACCACCCACGACCAGATACGAGCACGTACTAGCACTACCACGTACTGCCAGATACTATAGCACATACGCAGCCCGAAATCGGGGGGCAGAGGAGGGGTGGATTTGAGCCGTTGCACACTGACAGTGTACAGACTGAGTATGTACAAAAGGCTCCATAGAACCGGAAGGGTAAGGACAACTGTCGCAAAAGAACAGGCTTTTGGCAACTTGCACTCCCACAATGTCCGCATACAGTGGCCAGGACAGCAAAACTGCTTTTGCATCTCGGGGCGCCAAACGCAAACATTGGTCACAACGTTGCATCCCCGGCAGCCAACCGCAAACATTGGCCGCCAAGGTTTTGCATCTCGGGCAGGCGACCGCAAACATCGGCGCAAAGTTTTTTGCATCTCGGGCAGCCAACCGCAAACATCCGCCGCAAAATTTTTGCATCTCCGGCAGCCAACCCTGCATGTCGGCCGGGCTTTTTGCATGTCGGCCGAACACATCCCGCATGTTTCTTCTCCTCTCGACACACATTTCGAGGAAACGACGAATGAGCTCAGGATGGCAAAGATCATCGTTCGCCTCGGCAGATGGCTAACGAGTGCGACTGGACCTCACATCATCACATGTGCCTGCCAGCACCCTATTAGGAAAGAGAAACAGCAGAAGCAGAAACAGCAGCAGCAGCAGTAGCAGTAGCAGTAACCGTAGCATAGCGAAAGCAGTAGCAGTAGTACATGCTGTAGCACCAGCAGGAGAACAAGTACTAGTAACTAGTACCAGTACTCGTACCAGTAGTAGTACTAGCAGCAATAATAGTAGCAGCAGCAGCAAAAAGAAAGTGGTGGTGATAAGGTGATAGATAGTACAACATCAGCACAGCGGGAAGCACGCTTGCTGTTGCTGTTGTGGTGGTTGTTGTTGTTGGTGGTGGTGTTGTCGTTGTCCGTGTCGTTGTCATTCTCGTTGCCGCTGCAGTTGCGGTTGCTGTTGGTGTTGCTGCTTGCTGGTGCTGGTGCTGGTGCTGTTGCTGCTGCTGCTGCTGCTGCTGCTGCTGCTGATGCTGCTGGTGCTGTTGCTGTTGCTGTTGCTGTTGCTGCTGCTGCTGCTGCTGCTGCTGCTGCTGCTGCTGCTGCTGCTGCTGCTGCTGCTGCTGGTGCTGGTGCTGGTGCTGGTGCTGGTGCTGGTGCTGGTGCTGTTGCTGTTGCTGTTGCTGTTGCTGTTGCTGTTGCTGTTGCTGTTGCTGTTGCTGTTGCTGTTGCTGTTGCTGTTGCTGTTGCTTTTGTTGTTGTTGTCGTGGTGGTGGAAAGTAGGACGAGGCTGCAACGTCCCGGCCACACTTCAGCTTAACAAGCTACAAATAGCTCTGTCGACCCAGGCAGCTGAGGCATCTGACAGCCTTGCCAAAGCTTTCACAGATCTCACGACCTTGACGACACGTACCTGGGCGCCGCTACTTCTCGGCTGGGGGTCACTACGCGTTAAAACCACTTCTGTCGGCAAGCTACAATACGAGCTCTTCAGCAGACATGCGACTCTGCGGCCACTGCGCAGTCCCTATACAGTCACTACGCGGTCACTACGTGCTTGTAATCCGGTCGTCATGGCACAGTCACTACGCGGTCTCATTCATATAACGAAGTTAAAAGAAAGCATTCGTAAATTGAAACGAGGTGACGTGACAGATTTGGTCAGCGCAGACATTACTTTTTCCGTTAGTTGTAAAGTTCATGTGATTCGTCTTTGCCCATGTCCACGTTAGTTTCTGCAGGTGGTGGAGTTCCTTTATTCATCCGCAATGTTTCGTAAAGGTACGAGATTGGAGACCACCGTTACAGAACAAGCGGTTTGGCTAATTCGGGGCCAATTGCATTGATTGATGCATTCCACCCGCTGCCTAATACATCTTACCAGAGTATGTGGACTAGAAAGGGTTGCGACCTTCGCGTAGTGAGAACTTTCTACGCTGACTGAGGATGAGACATCTCTCCACTCCAGCTTTCGGCAATTTGGGTTCCAGCTTGTTGATGGGTGCCAAGTCTTAACAGCTGACTTGTTTCTCAATTCCTTTCTAATTCGCCCAAATCCCTGTCAGTTTCTTGTCAACTCAGAAAACTGGAAACTGCTGGTTAGCTTCATTCTTGCCTCCTGAACCCTGCCTGTTTTGCTCGCTTCCGCTTGCCTCCCATGGCTGTGCACTGTACACTGATCAGCGACCAGGGCCATAGCGATGAGTGATGTGGCCTGAAAGTAGAGAGGACTTAGCTGGTATCATCTCGTTCCATCTGCGGCCAGTTCGAAGCACATCACTTGCAGACATGACCACACCTGGTCAGAGAGATCTGCCACCTGCGCTCAGGTGGAAGTTGGAAATTTCTGAGAAACGCGGCATTGTCCTGCAGGATGCAGGAACAAGAAATGTCTTCGAGCTTGAGCCGCTGTGAGGCTCTAGGGCCGGAGCTGGAGCGACAAGCAAGATCTTTCACCTGTACAACAGTTGTACAGCCGTGGAGCGTAGGTGTCAGCTGCAAGTGATCCCCCGCAAAGTGACATGACTCCCACTTATTTAAGTGTTCGATTTTTACCTGCGGGAGCTTCTTGCAGCTGGCACCAAAGGAGTGCTGAAATGCTTCTAATTTCCGGACGTTGGCGGCTGACCGTGGGGCCTTGCAACAGGCTCGCTGTTACAACCAATGCTGCGAGAAATCTTCATCTGAACAGTGATCATCATTATCATTCTCATCATCTTCATCTGAGCTGCTTGTTGACCCTGAGCTGGTGATTTCCTTGATTTTGCGGCGTAGAAAGTTGCAGAGCTTGCGACGTCTGTGGAAGAACTATTGCTGATTGCGTGGGAGAATGGAATGGAGAGTGGACGCCGGGCAGGCAACGAAGGACAAACGCAAGGTTGAAATGACAAAAACCTGGAGCGGCCAGGCGGCCGTGAAGCCCCCGGTAGAATTGTAAGCACGAGGGTTTCGAGACCAAGAGCCCCCCCTAGGCGTCGCCCCTGCCAGGACTGCTAAGTTCAGAGCTCCTGAGCTCCGGTGTCATCCCGGCTTTCTCGACGAGGGTCCGGCGCCGGACCACCGTCCGGCTGCTGTGTGCAGAAGTACAGATAGCTCCCTTCAGGATTGAAGGCTTGGTTTCCAAGTGTTCCGTCGTAAGTATACTGAAACTCGCCTTTGATCTTCTTTTGGAGAAGTGGAGGATCGCTAGGGCGGCGGGTCGGAAGGTGGGTAAAGTCTGGTGGTGCGCAACACCCATTCCTGACCGCTTCGGTATCTGGGAGAGGAGCCAAATCTTGGCGGCTGTCGGACACATATGTCACTTGGTTGGGTATGAACAATGGCGAACTCCCCTGTCTGACGAACATGTGTCGCTTCTGTGCCAGCAAATGTGGCACGAAGGCGCCGAATATGCACCTTATTGCTGGTAATGGCTTGCACAGACGCGTTCTCCAGGCCCTCCAGCTTTGCCAGGACCTCTTTCACGGTACATGCCTCGTCAAGAATCTGTCCTCACGGCCAAACTTAGATTGAAGCACGTGAGTGTGGGCTGGGTGCACTAAGGTATGTGCCACAAGGCTGTATGGGTGGCGGCCTTTGAGCTTCTTCAATCCTAATTCTTTCTCAAAAACGCTTCATAACTGGGATGCTGCAGGTCGTCCTTCCGGGCCCGTCAGCTCCAAGAAGCGAACCGCTTGCAGCTCCGCTTCCGCACCGTACCGAGCTGTGTCTCGGATTCGCACGACACCGTCGCCACGGTGTCGCCTGGCAACTCACCCTGGACTCTCCAGCTTCAGTGCCTAGACCACTATGATCGATGGTTCAGGATAACAAACTAAAACCACCACTATGGTATAGTCCAGTGTGTAGTACGCTGCAGTCCTTGTAAGTACAGTGCACCAGGATGCAAGCAGAGCTGCCGCTGAGCAGTTGAACTTCCACCTTCAGCGAGGGCTTTGTGGAGCTGCTGTCATCTGCGTCGGCCATGGCACAGGGCTGCTAGGCTGCTACACCGTCGGGAGCGTTGGATTGCTTCTCTTCCCCTTCAGATTGGGAGATGCCGCCTGCCCAAAAACCCTCGTGTTGTGACTTCGGCAAGAGAACTTCGGCGGCACTGATCGAGGGATCTCAACCATCCCCATGAGCTGCAGCCCAAGCCTTGAACCTGCTGAATCCGACCGCATAAGCCATGACTGGTTGCACTTAAAGATCAACATGCTGTACCTTGATGCCCACACGCGACCCAAGTTGTTTCCTGAAGCCTCAGCTCATCCACCTATCCCCAGATCCTCAAACCGACCCTCCCTTTGGCCCCTCAGCCGAAATGATGTCTTCGCAACATGCCAGCTCAGAGGAGAGCCAGGCGGAAGACACGGAAGATCCGCAAGAATGACAATTTGGATCCTCCAGGCTCGGGCGCAGTGTTGGGAGACCGGCTCTTCTACTGTTGCTGCTGTTGTTGCCACTTGTCGTTGCCACTGCGGCTTTTGTTGTTGCGGTGGAGGAGGACGGGGAGGTAGTGCTGGTGGTTGTGCTGGTGGCGGCGGGGCAGATTCGTCTTCCGCGTTGATGTTTCTTGCTTGTACTGCGACTACTACTACTACTACTACTACTACTACTACTACTACTACTACTACTACTACTACTACTACTACTACGACTGCTACTGCTACTGCTACTACTACTACTACTACTACTACTACTACTACTACTACTGCTACTACTACGGTGGATGGAGGAAATCTTGCACCACCTACACATCTTGTTTCGAATACACATCCAAGCAACAACCCCGCGCCCCCTTCTTAACATTGACGACAGACCTCTTGGGGCGGTGCAAGATTTATGTCATTGGAACGATTTTGTAAATCCCCGTGTTCATAGCAATGTTAAGAAGGGGGGAAGGGGTGAAGCTAACTAACATATCTTAAAAGTGGTGCAAGATTTCCTCCATCCACAGTCCCCAGAGCGGGGTCTAGCTTTGGCCTGCTCGTGGCTTTCCTACATGGCTTGCAGATACTTCCAGTCAGGGCAACGTTGCATAGAAGTCACAGTCAACGTTCAGTCAACGTTCAGTCAACGTTACAGTCAACGTTCCAGTTAACGTTGCGAAAATGCTGGCAGGGGCAGCATTTTGGAGTTTTCAAGCATAAAAAGCAAGAAATACATGTATTTCTTGCTTTTTATGCTTGAAAACTCCAAAATGCTGCCCCTGCCAGCATTTTCGCAACGTTAACTGGAACGTTGACTGTAACGTTGACTGAACGTTAACTGAACGTTGACTGTACGTTAACTGCAAATTCCTACCAAATGTAGCAAAGTTGTGGAATTCTTGCGATTTTAGAATGACCTGCTGCGCAAGATGCACTGTCAGGGCTGCATGGCTCCATTAGCGAAGACAGCGACATGGACGCTGCTATACTATACGGCGATTCAGATTTTGCTGCAATGGCATTTCATGGCAAGCCACACAAGTACGTCACGCACCATGTCACGACCCTCTAGAAACGTCATATCACGAGCCTCTAGAAACGTCATTACTCGAGTCGGTGGATGGAGGAAATCTTGCACCACCTACACATCTTGTTTCGAATACACATCCAAGCAACAACCCCGCGCCCCCTTCTTAACATTGACGACAGACCTCTTGGGGCGGTGCAAGATTTATGTCATTGGAACGATTTTGTAAATCCCCGTGTTCATAGCAATGTTAAGAAGGAGGCGCGGGGTGAAGCTAACTAACATATCTTAAAAGTGGTGCAAGATTTCCTCCATCCACAGTCCCCAGAGCGGGGTCTAGCTTTGGCCTGCTCGTGGCTTTCCTACATGGCTTGCAGATACTTCCAGTCAGGGCAACGTTGCATAGAAGTCACAGTCAACGTTCAGTTAACGTTCAGTCAACGTTACAGTCAACGTTCCAGTTAACGTTGCGAAAATGCTGGCAGGGGCAGCATTTTGGAGTTTTCAAGCATAAAAAGCAAGAAATACATGTATTTCTTGCTTTTTATGCTTGAAAACTCCAAAATGCTGCCCCTGCCAGCATTTTCGCAACGTTAACTGGAACGTTGACTGTAACGTTGACTGAACGTTAACTGAACGTTGACTGTACGTTAACTGCAAATTCCTACCAAATGTAGCAAAGTTGTGGAATTCTTGCGATTTTAGAATGACCTGCTGCGCAAGATGCACTGTCAGGGCTGCATGGCTCCATTAGCGAAGACAGCGACATGGACGCTGCTATACTATACGGCGATTCAGATTTTGCTGCAATGGCATTTCATGGCAAGCCACACAAGTACGTCACGCACCATGTCACGACCCTCTAGAAACGTCATATCACGAGCCTCTAGAAACGTCATTACTCGAGTCGTCCCCAGAGCGGGGTCTAGCTTTGGCCTGCTCGTGGCTTTCCTACATGGCTTGCAGATACTTCCAGTCAGGGCAACGTTGCATAGAAGTCACAGTCAACGTTCAGTTAACGTTCAGTCAACGTTACAGTCAACGTTCCAGTTAACGTTGCGAAAATGCTGGCAGGGGCAGCATTTTGGAGTTTTCAAGCATAAAAAGCAAGAAATACATGTATTTCTTGCTTTTTATGCTTGAAAACTCCAAAATGCTGCCCCTGCCAGCATTTTCGCAACGTTAACTGGAACGTTGACTGTAACGTTGACTGAACGTTAACTGAACGTTGACTGTACGTTAACTGCAAATTCCTACCAAATGTAGCAAAGTTGTGGAATTCTTGCGATTTTAGAATGACCTGGCTGCTGCGCAAGATGCACTGTCAGGGCTGCATGGCTCCATTAGCGAAGACAGCGACATGGACGCTGCTATACGGCGATTCAGATTTTGCTGCAATGGCATTTCATGGCAAGCCACACAAGTACGTCACGCACCATGTCACGACCCTCTAGAAACGTCATATCACGAGCCTCTAGAAACGTCATTACTCGAGTCGTCCCCAGAGCGGGGTCTAGCTTTGGCCTGCTCGTGGCTTTCCTACATGGCTTGCAGATACTTCCAGTCAGGGCAACGTTGCATAGAAGTCACAGTCAACGTTCAGTCAACGTTCAGTCAACGTTACAGTCAACGTTCCAGTTAACGTTGCGAAAATGCTGGCAGGGGCAGCATTTTGGAGTTTTCAAGCATAAAAAGCAAGAAATACATGTATTTCTTGCTTTTTATGCTTGAAAACTCCAAAATGCTGCCCCTGCCAGCATTTTCGCAACGTTAACTGGAACGTTGACTGTAACGTTGACTGAACGTTGAACTGAACGTTAACTGCAAATTCCTACCAAATGTAGCAAAGTTGTGGAATTCTTGCGATTTTAGAATGACCTGGCTGCTGCGCAAGATGCACTGTCAGGGCTGCATGGCTCCATTAGCGAAGACAGGGACATGGACGCTGCTATACGGCGATTCAGATTTTGCTGCAATGGCATTTCATGGCAAGCCACACAAGTACGTCACGCACCATGTCACGACCCTCTAGAAACGTCATATCACGAGCCTCTAGAAACGTCATTACTCGAGTCGTCCCCAGAGCGGGGTCTAGCTTTGGCCTGCTCGTGGCTTTCCTACATGGCTTGCAGATACTTCCAGTCAGGGCAACGTTGCATAGAAGTCACAGTCAACGTTCAGTCAACGTTCAGTCAACGTTACAGTCAACGTTCCAGTTAACGTTGCGAAAATGCTGGCAGGGGCAGCATTTTGGAGTTTTCAAGCATAAAAAGCAAGAAATACATGTATTTCTTGCTTTTTATGCTTGAAAACTCCAAAATGCTGCCCCTGCCAGCATTTTCGCAACGTTAACTGGAACGTTGACTGTAACGTTGACTGAACGTTAACTGAACGTTGACTGTACGTTAACTGCAAATTCCTACCAAATGTAGCAAAGTTGTGGAATTCTTGCGATTTTAGAATGACCTGGCTGCTGCGCAAGATGCACTGTCAGGGCTGCATGGCTCCATTAGCGAAGACAGCGACATGGACGCTGCTATACTATACGGCGATTCAGATTTTGCTGCAATGGCATTTCATGGCAAGCCACACAAGTACGTCACGCACCATGTCACGACCCTCTAGAAACGTCATATCACGAGCCTCTAGAAACGTCATTACTCGAGTCGTCCCCAGAGCGGGGTCTAGCTTTGGCCTGCTCGTGGCTTTCCTACATGGCTTGCAGATACTTCCAGTCAGGGCAACGTTGCATAGAAGTCACAGTCAACGTTCAGTTAACGTTCAGTCAACGTTACAGTCAACGTTCCAGTTAACGTTGCGAAAATGCTGGCAGGGGCAGCATTTTGGAGTTTTCAAGCATAAAAAGCAAGAAATACATGTATTTCTTGCTTTTTATGCTTGAAAACTC